TTCCATTTTACATAGTCTATAAATACACTGCTGGTGAAGGAACTTACTGTCTCTGTGATTCTCTTTGCTGTCAACCTGGAAGACTGACTTGTCTTGGAAACCATTTCCACACCCCCAATTTTGACAAAGAAAGAAATTAATCCCTACATATAAATAATTAATATAATTGCAGTAAACCTTGTGTCAAATGTTCAGTGTGATTTGTCTTTTAAAAAATTGGCTGAAATCCCATTGTTTGGCATAGGAAGTTGCACTAGAAATAGTGGGGATTTGGTGAGTTCTCTTCTCCATAGGTTCTGTTCATTCAGATGGGCCTACTCTAGTTGTGACTTACTATAAAAAATGAAAAAAATATCTAGAATTCTCTCAAATTTATATATGTTAAGGGGGCACATTGTGGATGGATAAAGGCGTGCTTTCAAAATAAGATTAAAGTTCAGTGGTGGTACTACTTTGACAATTCAGTTATTAGTGAATGTTAATAGTTTATAAAAACAGGTTGTTCATGATGGAGAAGACACATTAAGGTATATAATTCTGGGTAAATACAATCTCCTTATCCCAGTGGGAGGAAAATGTATCAATGCACATGGCTTTAAAGTTAGAATAAAAATGAGAATGTTAGTGTCACATTTCCAGGGGATGCAGCAGACAAAAGTCCAATAAGTCAGTCCAAAGTCAGAAGTCTGGGAGCTACAAAACAGATGCCAAGTTATCAAAGCCAAAACACGAACCATAGTCAGAAGTCAGAGGCCCAAGAACCAAGGGTCAAGTAACCAAGGTTCAAGATAGTAGGAAGGTGGATGCAACCCAGAGAATGGACTTGTTGCTTCCACAGATTTCCAAGCCTTCTAGGTACAAATTATATAGGAGCAGCAACCATCAAATTCCTAGAAGCCTTCCATCCTGTTAAAACTCAGGACTGGTCGACCTGATGTTCTTGTGGGAAGCATTCATGCGAGCTTAGGAGCTTCATGTCATGAGTCTTTGCCGAACCTTGTCCCTCACTCTGGCTACTGGGAGAGGAGAATCTGTGATGATTCAGCTGTCTGTGCTTCTAATTGCCCAGTATTTTCCTCAGCTGAAATTAACTCCTCAGATGCCAGATCTTCTTCGGCAGAACTCATGACAGTTAGACCTTATAGAAAACGGTTACAATTTTGTTGTAAAAAGGGACAGCACTTAACATATGCTAGTTTAATTATATTGAAAGTGAATTATATTGACAAATAGTGATGGATATATGCTTCTTTGTGACTCTTACTTTAGGCCAGGTATTGGTAGCATCGTTGCAGAACGTTCAGTTGACTGGGGGAGCTATGTCTTAACCAAGTGCTCAATATTCATTCATTTTAACAACAACTTCCCAAGATCTCCTTCCCTAGCAACAACTGCTATTTTTGAAGCACCAAGATGCTTAACAGCTTACTTTGGGTATATGGCTGCAAAGCTAGAGGCTGGCAGTTTGAATCTTCCTGTGCCTTCAGAGAGAAGAGCCAGACTGTGTAGCCATGGGCAAACTGCACAATCCCAGGATGCCTTCAGAAGAAGGAAATGATAAACCACTTGTGAGTCTTTACCTGAAGAAGGAAATGGTAAACCACTTGTGAGTCTTTACCAAGAAAACCCTGGATAGGGTCACTATAAAGTCAAAATTAACTTGATGACATGCAGTTATTATTATTAAGATGCTTACTGTATTGTCTTCCTAAAGTCTCATGTTCTTATTTATAGTATTTAGAACACTGGTGCATCACTCTTGTAAGTACTAGGAACTCCAAGAAATAGAATTTTTCCAACACCATTGGTTCTTCTAATAGTATTGTGAAGTTATACTTCCCAAGGATCCCATGTGACTTAGCTGTGCCAAATGGATATGTGACCACTTACCCCAACAGCCCGTCAAGAAACATTGTCCTGGGTACATCCTGAGTCTGAAAGTCCATGTTTCAGCAGCTGCTGGGAAGGCTAATGCACTAACTGCATCTGTTCCTTGAAATGCCTGATCTGGCTCCAGTGGCACATTCCTTCTTACATACTTGTTTGTTTGTTTGTTTTGTTTATTTATTTTGTTTATATACTGCCCATCTAGAACGTGTCTACTCTGGGCGGTTTACATATAACATAAAAATAAACTAAGGTTAAATCCAGATTAATCACAGAGTCCAAGACGGGAAAGGAAGAAAGGGAAAAAAAGAAGAAAGAGAGAGAGAGAGAAAGAAAAGGGGAGTTAGGCTAAGTAATGCCTGTAGGGAAGGCCTGCCTGTATAGTCATGTCTTCAAGTTAGTCTTGAAGGCCCTGAGCGCGGGAGCCAGGTGGATCTCTACAGGTAAGTTGTTCCAGAGGCCAGGGGCCACTGCTGAGAAGACCCGATTTCTAGTTTTTTCCCACTGGGCCTCTCTTGGTGTTAGGCCTCTCAGCCACCTGGCCTGACTGGAGTGGGTAATACAGGTAGAACTGGGTGGAGGAAGGCAGAGTATCGATGGCCTAAACTGCAAAGGGCTTTATATGTAATTGTTATCACCTTGAAATCAATGCAGAAGCAGTTAAGTAGCCAGTGTAAGGTGGCCAAGGTGGGGGAAATATGGTAAAATCTTTTCAACCCCTGTTAATAGCCTGGTCGCCGTGTTCTGTACCATCTGGAGCTTCTGCATCAATCTCAAAGGAAGCCCCCACATAGAGAGCATTACAGTAGTCTATTCTTGAGACTACCAGCACATGGACCAGTGTGGTGGACCGCGTCTAGATAGGGACGCAGCTGGGCAATCCGCCGAAGATATAAATGGGCAGACCAAACCACAGACACTACCTAGGTCTCCATGGTAAGTGCTAGGTCAAGATGGACCCCCAGACAGCGAACTGGATTCTTTGTGGTGAGAGTCAGCCCCCAAAAGAGAGGGAGTTCTACAAACCACTGACATCAGGGCCACCCACTCACAGGACCTCCATCTTGTCTGGGTACAATCTTAGTCCATTTGACTGCATCCATTGCAAAACAACTTCCAGGCAGCGCCCAAGGGATGGAACGGCATCCACTGCAGATGGAAAAAAGGTGATGTAGAGATATTGGTAACACAAAGCTCCATATCCCTGGATGACTCCCCCCACGGCCTCATATAAATGTTAAACAGCATTGGGGAGATGATCAAACATTGCAGGACCCCACAACTGAGGGACCACGAGGCCGATACTTTCTCCACAAGCTGAACTCTCTGGGGATGGCCCTCCAAGAAGGACTGGAGCCAAGTGAGAGCACGGCCACCAATCCCCAACTCAGAGAGCCTCCCCAGGAGGATATTGTGGTCAACGGTATCAAAGGAGGCTGAAATATCAAAGAGGACAAGCAAGGACATTTTGCCCCTGTCGGCCTCCCTAAGTAAGTCATCAAGCAGGTGACCAATGTCGTTGTGGCCTCCCTAAGTAAGTCATCAAGCAGGGCGACCAATGTCGTTGTTGTGTTGTGGCGTGGCCTGAAGCCTGACTGAAACGGATCCAGGGCATTCATTCAAGGGAGCATGAAGCTGGTTGGACACCACCCTCTCAAATATCTTGATAAGAAAAGAAACATTGGCGATGGGCCTATAATTGCCAATGTTGTCCGCCGCCAAGCTCGGTTTCTTTCTAATGGGCCTTAACGTTCTTCCTCAAGAACGTACCCATTTATTATTTCAGTGGCCCATTCAGTTATCACCAGCCTGGCAGCTTTGATTAGCCAGTCCAGGCAAAGGTAAAGGGAGGAGGAGGAGGCTCAGCAGCGATCAAGGACCTTGTCCACCTCTGCAGACATCACAGGTTGAAACAGAGTAATTCTCAATGGGCAAGGTGCTGCACTGGATGTCTCAGCTCGATCCACTGTTTTCAAATACGGTGCAAGATCCAGGCAGATGGCCTCCGCTTTTGATTTAAAAAATGCTGCAAATTGGTCACAAGAAATTCTAGACGGAGACCAATCATGGCGGCCAATTCCAGATAGGTTTCATACTATACAGAGAAGTTCCGCCTGCTAATTGGATGCTTCGCTTATCTGGACAATGATGTAGGCTTTTCTAGCAGCCTGTACCTTAGCAAGGTAGAGGCTAGACCTTACCTTGGCAGCTTGTAAGTTATTTTCCGTCGGGTTCCATCGGAATCCAGTCCAATCCATCTTGCTTGGATTACTATTAAACACTCTTCATGGGATTGCCTTTGAGGAGTGTTAAGAAACTTCTACAGCCAGATTGTACATAAGATTGGTTGCAAGGAGTATGTAATTCCCCTGTTGCATCAGATCTTCTGGATATTGGTCCCACCTGAATCCCTCCCCAGTTTAAAAATCTTTGAGGGAGGTCCTTCTCTTGGTCCCACAATATTCTCAGCCACTTTCAGTGAGGACACAGAAGAGGGACTTTGTAGTTGTTGCTCTCAAGCTGTGGAAGTCCTTTCAATGAGGAAGGAAGTCGGGTTTTCCCCCTCTTTTCCTTCCCAGAACAAATACATTTCAGTCAAGCCTTTGGCCATTGACTGGGCTACAGAAAGAGGATGTAGAGTTTTTCCTCAGTTCTTTAAAACCTTTTAAAATGTGTATTTAGTTTTAGTTTTTTTAAAAGCTGATTTACATGTTGTGTGTCGTCACATCAGAATGGACTTATAGCTAACCTAATAGGGTTTTCAGGGTAAGTGAGTTGTTTAAGGAGCGCTTTTACCAGTTCCACCCTCACTCCCACTTAGTTTCCGTGGCAGAACCCGGAAATCAAAGCCTGGTGCCCTGAGTCCTAGCCCATTATTCTATCCACTACATCACACTGGGTACCTTGTTTTACACTTAGTGACCATTTAATATTATTTCACATTTCATAGAAGTTTGAATATTTTAATTTATATGTGTGTTGTCAATACACACACGCCACCATTTTGTGAGCCATAATTAGTGCCTGAATTGGAAAACAGTTAAGACTGAAATGAAATAAAATAAATAAATACTAGCTCTTTGGGTGTAATAAGCCTGTTTTTTCTCTTTCAGACACACATCTCTTGGTGCCATAGCACATGGATTTCAGGACTGCATGTGAAGAGGTAATGCCAGATTTTTGTAACTTAAAAAGCGCACATGCTGAATTAATATTAAATTGATATGTTAAGTGAAATGTTTCAGAGAAGGAAGAAATGTAGTTTCTAGCTAATCTGACAGGGAAGGGAAAGGAGTCTTTTGAAAACGCCAGTGTGGAAAATATGACTAAGACTTGTCAGACAGCACAAAAAAGTTGAATTTCCACAGATTCATCAATCCATTATTTGTATTTCTGACTGTAAGTATTTCTAAGAAAGCAGCGAATCGTGAAAGTGTGTCTTGGATTCTGCAAAAGCATTGTTCCATTTTCCTCTTTCTGTGTCTTTCAGCATGAAATTTATTTGTCCTCTGTATCATATATATATCAAAACATCCTGTGACTTCCTGCACTTTCCACTTTAAAAAACAAAATAAGAACTACTTGTCAGGCAGTACAAAAGCTTTGTTAAATAGATCATCA